TTGTACACATGTGTGAAATGACATCTAGTGTATACATGTGTGAAATGACATCTAGTGTATACATGTGTGAAATGACATCTACTGTATACATGTGTGAAATGACATCTATTGTATCCATGTGTGAAATGACATCTATTGTATCCATGTGTGAAATGACATCTACTGTATACATGTGTGAAATGACATCTATTGTATCCATGTGTGAAATGAAATCTGTTCTATACATGTGTGAAATGACATCTAGTGTATACATGTGAAATGACATTTACTGTACACACACGTGTGAAATGAAATCTACTGTACACATGTGTGAAATGACATCTAGTGTATACACATGTGTAAAATGACATCTAGTGTACACATGTGTGAAATGACATCTACTGTACACATATGTGAAATGACATCTACTGTTCACATGTGTGAACTGATATCTACTGTATACATGTGTGAACTGATATCTACTGTATACATGTGTGAACTGATATCTACTGTATACATGTGTGAACTGACATCTACTGTACACATGTGTGAACTGATATCTACTGTACACATGTGTGAAATGACATCTAGTGTATACACATGTGTAAAATGACATCTAGTGTATACACATGTGTAAAATGACATCTAGTGTACACATGTGTGAAATGACATCTACTGTACACATGTGTGAAATGACATCTACTGTACACATGTGTGAAATGACATCTACTGTACACATGTGTGAAATGACATCTAGTGTACACATGTGTGAACTGATATCTACTGTATACATGTGTGAACTGACATCTACTGTACACATGTGTGAACTGATATCTACTGTACACATGTGTGAAATGACATCTAGTGTATACACATGTGTAAAATGACATCTAGTGTACACATGTGTGAAATGACATCTACTGTACACATGTGTGAAATGACATCTACTGTACACATGTGTGAAATGACATCTAGTGTACACATGTGTGAAATGACATCTACTGTACACATGTGTGAACTGACATCTACTGTACACATGTGTGAAATGACATCTAGTGTACACATGTGTGAAATGACATCTACTGTACACATGTGTGAAATGACATCTACTGTACACATGTGTGAACTGATATCTACTGTATACATGTGTGAAATGACATCTACTGTACACATGTGTGAAATGACATCGACTGTATACATGTGTGAACTGATATCTACTGTATACATGTGTGAAATGACATCTACTGTACACATGTGTGAAATGACATCGACTGTATACATGTGTGAAATGACATCTACTGTATACATGTGTGAAATGATATTTATTGTACAAATGTGTGAAATTACGTCTATTGTATATTTGTAAAATGACATCTACTGTACACTTGTGTGAAATAATATCTACTGTATACATGTGTGAAATGACATCTACTGTACATCTGTATGAAATGTCATCTACTGTATATGTGTGTAACATGACATCTACTGTACACATGTGAAATTATGTCTACTGTACATCTGTATGAAATGACATCTACTGTATATGTGTGTAACATGACATCTACTGTACATATGTGTGAAATGATATTTACTGTATAAACGTTTCTCAAAAGGATGACCTTAATAGGGCTCATGTTGATGTAGAAACTGCCAAACAACACAAACAACATTATGAAGGAAAGAGGAGAGATCACAATGCCAAAATTGTTGATCTGAAAAAGCAGTATGCAAGAGAAGAGAAAAAGACAGAGGTCAGTCAAATATATTTTCATGATATGCAGTTATTATATAATGAT